TGTCACAGCTCTATCGCTACGCGCAAATGATGGCGCTGGAAGCAGTGTAGAGCTGGCTCACCACGACTTCGTATTCAACAATCGTGCCCAAACCGGTACAGACATTTGCTTGCGCCGCAGGCATGAGCCTCCCTCAACCAGGTCCACGCCATCTTTCGGAATCACAACGGGTGTATTTGCCCCCGATGGAGGGGGATCGTAACGCCATGCCACGTTGAAGTGAGAGACCGTGATACACGTACAAGTGAAGAAGCTCGAAAAGGACGACACACGTAGATGACAATAATAGAACTAGCACTATCGAACTATTCCGTAGCCAAAATAAAATAATATTTCCAAACCTTTTCCTCCTTCCTCCTCAAAAAAAACTTCAAGACACTTCGCCCACCAACCCTCCTCATCTGGTCTAGATAAATCCCAATCCACTAATCCGCAAAATCTAGAAAAGAATCCATTGCAAAAGCTACCTATGAAACCGTAGAAATTGAATCCTGAGCAATTTCCTCACAACAAAATCAACTCAACAAAACAAAATCAAACTCAACAAAAACAAACAATCAAAATAATTCACAATCAAATGGATAAGAAAAAAACTCACCAGGCCAGCTGGGAACCGGAACTATGGATTACTTTGAATTTTGGCTGTTCACGTCAGCGCGCATTCCTACAAGCTCATTGGTGCCGCATTTTTACGCTGACATTTTCAAGCCATGTGAAAAGTATCTCTGATTTGAACACCCATAACTTCGTTGAAAGTGAAGCTATCGGAGAGTGGTAAGTGGGAATGAGTAGAGCTAGGTGCTCTGTCACCTGTATTGACATTCAAAAATCGTTCGATTCCAGAATTTTCCCCTGTCATCACTTTCTGATCCGCTCTGTGATCATTTGCGAACCGCGAGTCAGCTACCTTATAGACGTCATGCAAGCTTCATACACCGCCTTCCGCTAAAAAAAAAAAGAATTGTGCCGGAAGCTTGAAGATTTCTACTTTCCAGCAAGGCTTTAATTTTCTTCCTAGGCCTGCTATTCGAAAAAATTCCCCGTTGTGATCATTTCGTGACCACCCCCCCACGACACGAAAAATCAGCCCCTCCGAGGCCATGAAACCTCCAGTTGGCTTGAAGACTTTGGTATGCTTCTAAAACACATGTTTGTATCAGGAAAT